ATTAAGGGCAATACTCTTTCTCTAAAATGAAAGCTGCTTGGACAGCCTCGATTGGGGACTTGCCTTTATTTATGGTGACTTGATTAAAGGCAATATTCCTGATTAAAGGCAATATTCCTTTCTCAAACTGTTCCCACAGACGTCCACCATTTGCCTGATTAGAGGATCTACACCGTCCAATTGGGCATGCGAGATGATCAGGAGAGAGAAGGTGACGAGGAGAGAGGGGATGCGTTCCATTGTTGAACAGCAGAGGCCGTCTGATACGGCAAGTACGATCGCCATTTGTCCCCCTCCTTCTTTTTCCTGTTTTCTGCTCTTGGCACCAGTATTGTCTGCGACAGTGATGGCGTCGATTATGTAGACGGCGCGTCCTCTGCGCTCATTATGGAGCGGGCCCCGTCGAGCTCCGTCGGAATAATTAGTATTTTCTACTGAGTTACTGGTCTCCTGATCTGAAATTTCGGGCTGGTTTCGACGGAGAACTGCGGAGATGCAGCTGCAGCGGCATTTGACGAGGTCCTTCCTGGTGGAGACTCATTCAACGATGGCAGTCGGCGTGAAGTCGTCGTTAGGACTGGCGTATAACATCTTCTTTTCCAGCACGATGGAGGACAAAGAGCTGTAGAGGAAGCTCGTAGACGCCATGGATGGCATAGGAGATAGAATCGTGGCGAGGCCGCAGGCTGAGCATGGCAGATCTATTGGGTCAACTTTGCTGCATTTTTGAACAAGATCTACTCTCTTCTCCATTTGTACTCCATAATATTCTAGTCCTTCTTTCGAGTTATATCTTTCAATCTCTTAGATGAGTGGCTGCAGAGAGTTCAGTGTGGATTTGATGTCTTCGATGAGGTGTTTGAACATAGTAGTCTCCTCCTGCAGGAATCTCTTCTTGGCTGATAGAGAACTCAAGCCTGCTCCTTTACCCACATCAACCTCAGATCCATTAATCATGGTAAAAGCCCATTTCTCAGAACACCCATCACGGCGCCATTAATCACGAATCGTGTTCAAGTCCCACCAGAGTTCCGCTAACAGGCTGCGGTCACGCCACGTGGTAAGGGAGGCGTCGATGCTGCAGAGAATGTGGGTTATGTTAGTGGGTTCCGGTTCGGGTCCAGGTCCCGGAGCTACAAAGTCAACTCAGGTCCGGACTACATCCGGCATGGGGAACCAGTGTGACTTGGTGAAGAAGGCGAAGAAGAGCGCGAGTGAAATCGACGTGACGAGGCAAATGAGGAGGCCTAAGTGTAGGCAGAGGACCTTGTTGTACTCCGCCATGGCTGCAGCTGCTTCTCAACGACGGAGGGAGAGAGAAACAGAGACGTAGGTTACGGGGATTTTCTGAAATGGGAAGAAGATCCTCCTTGATCTTCAGGACATAATCCGCGATTCAATGTTGAATTAATCCAATTCTGTGATTAACCTTGCGATTCAGCATTTGCGAACGCAAATGCTGAATCGCAAGGTTAATCACAGAATTGGATTAATTCAACATTGAATCGCGGATTATGTTCTTCTCTGCAGCCTCGTAAGTGGGGAAAAAGAAAGCAAAACTGCTGCAGAAAAAAGAATGAAGACCTGTAAAAAGTAGAAAAAGGGGAATCTTTGGGACTCTTTTATGGGCAGAGACCGAGAGAAAGATGAGAAAGCGAGAGGGGATGACATGATGGCTTTGTGTTTGTGGGTGTTTTCTGGAAAAGCCCAGGGAGGTTCTGGGTTCTGCAGATTCATGGCGGAGGTGAAAAATTGAGAGAGAATCGACATAGTTTTTCATGTCGATTCCCACAGACGGTAAATCGGAGGTCTTGGAACAACGTAAATCCGACCGTGAATCTGCAAGAAGGTAAATAACGCAAGATGTATCGTGGTTCACCCCAATATTTGGGCTACGTCCACATTGATATTGTATTTCTGAGGGAGAGAGATAGCTCTAACTATGAGAGTGAGAGCTCTGAGAGGATGAGGGGTTAGGCCTAAGAATTGGTCTCTTCCAATTGTGAGGGTGAGGAGTCCTTTTATAGAATAAGGGTTCCTCACTTATTATATATTTGCCCATTCCTTTATTACATAATTACATTTAAGTCCCCCAAGTATTTGTACGAGATCTAAATACGGAGGCCCTAAATATGGTATAAACATGGTTCATTTTGGGTTTATCCATGTTGTGCACTAACGGTTGATTATCCTAAACATAAGCAACACATATACATTCAAAATCATATATATATACGTGTATATATAGTATTAGTAATCATCATGCTATCAATTTTGTTAACAATATTTTCTATATTTATTATGGCATGAATCATATTCATATACATATATTTTTTAAACCCTAAAACTAAGTAGTCATTTATTTTCTAAACCCTAAAACTGAGGAGTCAAGTATGTAAAAAATACCAAAAATAACTATATATATATATATTGGTAGGTATGGCATACTGCCGGCATACAAAATCAGTTACCAAAATCATGCCATTAATTGTCGGTTCGGTAAAATGCTAATTGATTATGAAAAAATGCCAAAACTATATCATACCATTATGAACCGACAGGTATGGTTCGGTCGATAAATCGGTTTATGGCAAAATTTCCCACCTCTAGTTGTGTCCATTAACCAATGTTGTTATTATCTGGAAGGATGTCAAAACCTGTTAAGCAATAATACATATTTAGCAAATTGATCGGAAGCACAACGTAATTGTATATAAATTGATCATCTACGAAACCACAGTGAAAAGATATACTACATACGTATTTACTATCAGTATATTTCATTGTAGCAGAACGAATTAAGGGTTTTTGAAGCTTTGTAAGTGCTTTGTTTTAAGAGTCAAATGAGTTTGCTTTGTTTTACCGATGAATAGTGATTCAAGTTGAAATTTGGATGATGACAATATCATATATAAGTTGAAGTTTGATAGAACCAACAACTGTTTCTTAAAAAATTTATGAAAAAACAGTTTCCAGCTTTGCAAAGAAACAGTTGTCATCCTCAGATTTTTTTCTTCCTGTGAGAGACTTTCTCTTTACCTGAGAGCTCTTTTCACCTATTGCGTGGGTGTTTTTAATTCTACAGCCGCCAACCCTAGCTATGGCCAAGGTCGGTGGTAGTGCCTTCCTTTTTCTCTTTGCTTTCTCCCTTCTTTCCTTTTGCTGTTTTTCCCCTGCTCTCCATTTTGATTTGGCTTGTTCTTTACACCCCATCGGCGTCCCTTCTCCTAGACCATATCCACTTCGATCTGCAGTCAGTCATTACCGCAATTTGTTATTGCACATCGAAGGGGTGTATAGAGTTCCGGTGTTCCTACCGGCTTGTTGTTCATAACACCACCATTTTCTTTCTATCTTTATTGGCAGCGTTGCTCGTGGACTCCCACATGCATGTTTCACTTTGTGGCTACGATCGGAGAGTTGCTCGCAGCAGGATGATACGATAGGCGTGGCGCTGCTTGGCTGGTCGAGATGCACTTTTGCGGAGCCGCTGGCAATAGAATTCTCGGGTTTCTTCTGGTTTGTTCATGGTTTGGACTCCTTTTTTGTTAGCTTGGCAGGTCCACTTTTGCTTGTGCTTATTTGTCTTTGGGTCTTTGTATTGTAAACTGTAAGTTTGTGGAGTTGCTAATAAAATTTCATCTTTGTTCCAAAAAAAAAAAAAAAAAAAAAAAGAGTTGTATGATTTTTTTTTTATCTGGTCGATAGTCAATTGTATGATTACGTTTGCTATTTTAGAAAGGCCTTGCTACCTGCTAGACTGCTACGCAAAAAACAGAATGTGCCGGTTTACTTACTATTATTTAATTTTGACATGCGTGCATTGCGTCGGACTGGCACTAAACTAAACCCACCAAACAGATAAACCCTAACCAATTTGGATGGTATTATATTCCCATCTCTCGTTTGGGTGAAGTTGTTGGGATTTCTACCGACCATTAAGTCCCAGAATTACAATCCAAACCCAATCCAATGCAACAACATTTCTGGGAAATTATTTATCCATTATTTTTTCAATTTCCCAGATTGCTAAAATTAGGTTAGCTAAGTGATCCAACGCTCACCTAAATCATCCAGAATTATTTCAGACAGAATTGAGATACAAGGTTGTTGGGTTGAACTGAAGTTAGTTAATCATGTCTCAAACATAACTAATGAAGCTGGAGACTTTGAACGCAAGCTAATTGACTCTCCCAGACATGACGACTTTTGATGTCTCAACCCTAACCACTTCACACATTCCTTATTTTTTTCCTGTTAAATAGGCAAAATTATTTAAAACGAGACCGAAGCACGGACCAGATATTCTGGATCGACCCGAAAACCCGTGATACGTGTTTGAATGCGGATTCGAGAGGTTACAGAAGAAAAATAATGAGTTGATGAATTGAGAATAACTGTTTGGTGTAGCATGCTGATGCATGCAGGTTTTAAAAAAGAAATAAAAAGGATTAGGAGTACCTACCAAACCATGCATAAGAGTTTATTTGATTTTTAAATTGGAGAATATTTGTTTTAATTGTTGGATTGGAACAATTTTTCCATTGCGGAATCTCCTCTTTGCTTTTGTTCTTGAGAATCTTCTGGTTTTTTTTTCTTCGTGTGTTTAAATTATTTAACATCATAATTAACTCATTGCATTAAAAGTCAATAATCATGTGCCATGTTTGATCATTAACACCTTGAAATCAATAAAATTATTGAATTCACTTTACAAGATGATGGTAATTGATTCGTAAAAATAGACAAACTATGTTTTGCGATATGTTTTGATCGGTAGGGAAACAGAGATTCGAACTTGGGATGTCGTTGAACATTTTAGTCGAGGTTTAAAGGTGCAGAAGAAAGATGTGATGGCAATTGTCTTGTAGTGAGGTGCCTTTGCCTCCATAATTACTTCTTAATTAGACATACTTACTTAACTAATTCATTATTTAGGGCCACCATCATATCAGTAACAGCCCCTCTCTCTCTCTCTCTCTCCTCTCTATAAATACCATCCCTAATCCATTTTTATGTCCCACACTTAAATTACGCAGAGTTAAGCAAGAAAGTTGTTCTAATCTCTCAGGATGGCTTTCAATCCTGCATTATTGAGCTCAATCTTCATCGTCCTTTTGGTATTTTCCACAGTGACAAACGCGCTGAGCTTGAATTACTACGACAAGAGCTGTCCCAATGTCGAGCAAATTGTTTCTAATGCCGTCAAGAAGGGGAAAGCCAACGACGGAACTGTCCCTGCTGCTCTGCTCCGGATGCACTTCCACGACTGTTTCATAAGGGTAAATACATATTTTTTTGGTACAAGCTGTTTCGAAAGCGTAAACACATTGATTAGTTGATTGAGTTAACTCAAAAGTATTTGTTTTTGTTTGCAGGGCTGTGATGCATCTGTGCTGTTGGACTCCACCAGAGGCAACAAAGCAGAGAAAGATGGGCCACCAAATATTTCTCTGCATGCGTTTTATGTCATTGACAATGCAAAGAAACAAGTGGAGGCTTCCTGCCCTGGTGTTGTTTCATGTGCTGATATCTTGGCTTTGGCAGCAAGGGATGCTGTTGTGCAAGTAAGATTGTCGAAACTAGGGAGATTCTGTTGCATAATATGAGAAACAGAACCGCTTACAAGCTTTTAATCAAAAACAAAACTACTAGACACACTATATAGACAATAGGAGTTCATTTAGAAATGTTTTTAAAATGACTGAAAGCATTTTTTAGAACAATATTTTTGGAATAATCCTTAATAAAACTATAAGTGAATCCTGGAAAAACACTTTAAGTGCTTATGTGCTTCTTGCTGAAAGGACTTAAATGCTTTTGAAACCTAAAAATATTTTCTCTAAAAGCATTTTCAATTATTTAAAAAGTATTTTCAAATGAGTCATATACCGTATATAATTCACGGTCCTCTTTATACATATTTCCCGAAAGTAAAACAACATAGCTGTATACTCTTTTTGTACTTTCTGACTGTGTTATCAATGCTACAGTCCGGAGGTCCGAATTGGGCCGTGCCGAAAGGAAGAAAAGATGGACGAACATCAAGGGCTAGTGAAAGCGTGCAACTGCCGGGTCCAACCTTCAACATATCTCAACTGCAGCAGAGCTTCTTTCAGAGAGGTCTGTCCTTGAATGACCTGGTGGCTCTTTCAGGTAAACTAATCTCAACATTTTTGCTGTTATCGAAGAAGAAACGAAAGAGAGTAACTTCGGATGCATCTGCAGGAGGGCACACTCTAGGGTTCGCCCACTGCTCATCGTTCCAAAACAGAATTTACAACTTCAATGCCACACGCGACGTTGATCCAACACTGCGCCCATACTTTGCTGCAAGTTTGAGGAATACGTGTCCCATCAAGAACAGACCGAGGAATGCCGGTGCCACAATGGATTCTTCTTCTACAATTTTTGATAATACATACTTCAAGTTGATCCTCCAAGGAAAGAGCTTGTTTTCTTCGGACCAAGCTCTGGTCAGTATTCCACGGACTAAAGGTTTGGTTACTAAGTTTGCTTCCTCAAACCAAGCGTTCTCAGATGCTTTCGTGATGTCTATGATAAAGATGAGCAACCTTAATGGTGGACAAGAGATCAGGAAAGACTGCAGGGTAGTAAATTAAACGAGGGCCGCCAAGCTTAGTTGTAGCCGATTGTATAAACATGAGAACTGGGAAATCCATCAAGTCGGTGGTTCTCTATTAACTTTCGAGTTTTGAAAGATTTGTGAAGGAAATTGTTTGTGTGCTGCGTTTCATAATGTTTGAAAGGATCTTGTTACAACAAAATTCTGTTATAAATTGTAACAAAAATCGTACTATTTATACGAAGTACTCAGTTGAAGGGCAACGCATTTTCTTGTCTGAAACTTAAAGTAGTCTCCGGACAATGCATGAAATCGGTGTATATCAACCCCTTTCATTAATGAGATGAACATACGATGCTCATTACAGAATGGTCGTACAGGTCAACTGGACTAAACTTACAATGCAAGCAAGAGTGGCAGAATTACCACAAACTCCCAAAAATGCTAACGCAAAACCGTTGTCTCAGCCTGTTCGCTATCCAGAGCGATCTCTGCCAGTTGAAGGTTGCCACGTAGCCCGGATGCCTTGTAGGATGGCATAAACGAAAAGGCGTCAAGAAGCTTCAAGCACTTCAATCCCCATTTGACCATCAAGAATTCAATAAGACGATGCCCGCTGCATGTTACAAGAAGTGCTTTCAAAGAGTAATAAAAGTGAAAGAGAGTCATTTACAGCGCTATCTGCATACTACAAGCGCACATGTTATAAAGTTAGAACAGCATTAGAAGCACACGCAGGTGAAATACCTTCGATTATGGTATGTTGTTATGAAGACTGACCCCGGAGAATTTTGGAGCAGAAATGTCACGGTGGCAAAGAGGTCATCAAAGGCTTACCAAGGAGAATTAAATCCTAATTTAGCTTAAGTTCAGTGATAGAGGGGCATGTGAAATGAAAAAAAAAAAAGAAAAAACAAATCGTGAAACATAAAAGTTAAAGTCGATTAAAATCCTACCAGTAGCATCATATAATACATCAGCCCCGAGAATGAATTTGGGGTGTAAGCTGAACGTTGATGCATCCCAAGCTCCCCATGTCAATCCCATTACCTGAAAAATTGAAGTGAGACAAGATTAACATCATCTAATCAGGTGATGTGCAAACAAGAATCGGCGATTAGCCTGTTGATGGCGATTACCTTGCACTCAAGTTTATTAAGGTCAAGCACTCTTCTCATGTTGTCCAGCACCTGCAGATTCAAGACAACAAAGTCTGGTCTAGTTCACTAAGGTAGTAAAGAAAACGAGGATTCTTTATCAATTTGAGGGTTCAATCGAGATCAATACACGCAGTTCATAACGATAATCATACTTCTGAAATAAAACAATCAAAATTGACGAAAAACAGAAATGATTTCGGATGAACTTTTAAGCACAAATGAAAACACTAAACTATTTTCGCAAAAATAGGCCCTTAAACGCATTAAAAATTGCAAATCCCCCCTCTCCCTCTCTCCCGTTCGATTAAAAGCTTTCTGATGATCCAATCCTCCCTCAATTTAAATCGCAAGACACACCTTCGAGCCCAATACTTTCTAACCATCGTAAAAAGTACATTGAGCTTTCAAGCAAATCAAAAAAATTAGACACTAATTATGTATTAGCAAGTAATCAAAATTAAGAAAACAGCCAATGCGATTGGAATTTCAATACCTCCAATCTACTCGAATCATCAGTGAGAGTGACGTCAGCACCAACTCTGGCGGCAACCAGACCGGGCAAGGAAGTTCCAGCGCCAAGCTGCAAACTAACCCAGAAATGATTAATTAATTAATTACTAAAACAAGATTAAGATTAACAGTACTACCTCGACTACGCTAGCTCCGGAAAAGCGCAATCTCTGTTGCCAAACATACTCCGCCAGGACTAAGCTGCAGGGCCACACGAAGAGCCCGTACTCTTCCTTCATGTTCTCGATGACGGAGACGGAGAAGGCCGGTTCTTCCAAGTCGTCCCCGAAACGATGACGCGATACCGTCGACATATCGGGCGAGTCATTTCCTTCCATAACTCGCTAGTTTGCTGCCGCAGCGAAAGTCTGGTAAGGGAACGAATTGGGTTGGAGAAGCCTCTGTCAAAAATGGGCCTACTAAATCCCCACAGGCCCTATTAAACTTGGGTCCAATATATGTTTTGAATTAAAGTTTTGCTACAATTGCAGCAGAGTTTATATACATTTTATTACACACACATGCAATAAACAAAAGCACTGGAAGTGGCGTCCTTGCTGTCCACGATGCAGCAGTCAGAATACACATGCAGTGACCTTGCTGCTCACGTCCATGATGCATGTGCCCTTGTTGTCCAGAACAATGATACATCTTCACATGCTAACCTAGCTGTCAAGGAATGTTTTATGCATGTTAATATTCCTTCTGTCCAGGCTGGACTGTTAGTGGAGCACCTTTAACAGGCCCAACTTAAAAGGCTCAATGAAATTTATCCGAAAAACCCAAGGGCTAAACCAATTTTTGAAGGCAATTTTTGATGGCGCTTTCTCGAAAGCATGCAGCCCCAATCTTCTTCCTCCCTCCTCTGCTTCACCGAGTGAACTCGCTGAGGTCGACAACTCGGATCTCGACCAGCCCTCCTATGGCTTTTGCTCACCACCCAATATCCATTCTTCTCAAAACTTCAAAGCACCCAAAGACTTCGATTCTGAAATCTCCTCTTCCTCTTCCTCCTTCTTTTTCCTCCATTTCTCTTCCTCTCAAACCTCGCAATCTCTCCTTGTTGTTAAGGTCCCGAATTCCAGGGCATAAAGGTAATTACAGTTCTCCGCCGTCGGCGCAGGTGGAGCCCCAGGAGTATCAGGCGAGTTCAGCTGCGGACGCCTTCACTAACTTCAAAGCATCTTCTGCTGCCCATCACCGATGGGAACCCATATCTCTCCGAGGGCACGAGACGGGTAATTTTTCCTTCATTTTCTACCTGGGTAATTTTCGTGGCTGCCATTGTGTGATGATCCAGGTAAAAAGTTTGATTTTTTTTTTTTTTTTTTACAGGCTATAGCTACTGTTGCTGCTTTGGCGAAGAAGTATGGGTCTGACATTACGGTTGTGGGTATGTTTACTGATGAGAATTGCTCTCTCTGTTTTTACATTGTGTGTTACGGTGTCGAAACCAAGCTTTATATATAGAGCTTTTCGTTACTGTAGAGACGTTTTCGGAATTGATTCAGTAAATGTAGAGTAGGAATATAGAACTTTGTGTTGTTTTGCAGTGATCGATGAACAGCAGAAGGTTCGACTATCCGCTGGCATCTCTCTGAAGGTTTGTGTATTGTCTCATGTGGAATTTGGATATTACAACTTTGAATATTTATCGTACACGAGTAAAGGGAATGTGAAATGTTAGAGCTGATTGATTAATAGAGAACAAAAACATAGATATTATATGATTGTGTCGATTCAGTGATGTCGATTGAGTTTTCATCGGTGTATTGCAATAAGATGCAATTTTTCACAATAAGTTGATGTGTTGATGTTGCTGACTGAATCAAAACAACGGAGCAGAATGACAATGAAAAGGAGTCGTATTTCATTAGGGAAAAAAAGAAGAGGAAAGCGATGGTTTTCTAGTTGGTAATTCTGATGGTTGACGGGGTTCAAGTAATAGGAAAGGGATGAAGCATCAAATCTTGTTAAATTTGGTTATTTTTGTCAAAAAACGCTTGAAAGTACAATAGAAGAATCTGGGAAAGTTGGCCCCGTAGATGGCTCCAACATGTATGATTGTGTTGTAAGAATATTGTAGCCGATTGCTGACCAAGTACTACTTAAGAGAATAGTGTGACAACCCGTCCTGTGATTTACGGAACGGAACAGTATTCCCGTTTTTATCACTTTGGTTGGGTTTTATTTGTTTAAAATATTGCTTTTTGGTGATAAATGGTGTGCCCAAGGAGCTCATCCCTGTTTTGGTCCCCTGGTTCCCCTCTCTTCCTTGGCTACCACGTGGCAGTCTCTCATCTTTCTCTTCTTCTCTCTTTCCCTTCCCCTGAGTCAACACACTCTCTCTCTTAGCTCTCTCTCATGACCCCTCTCCCTTTCCTTTTCTCGACGACACCCAAGGCACCCTAACACCCAAATCGAGGCACCCCGACGACGGCACCAATACCATCACTCTCGCGAGAACCTCCCTTCCTTCCCCCTCGTCTCTATGAAGCTCGGTGAAGCCTAGAAACCCAGGAAATGCTCCGGCGAACCCTCGTGACTTTCGAGCTAAACCCAACCAAGTCTTGTTAGTTGAGTCATAATCTGTTTTCTTTTAATCTTTTGAGTCAAGTTAAGTCTTATTTTCTTCAAAATCCCTTGTTAGGTCTAGAATTAAGTTTTTGATTGTTTGTTGTTGTTTTGAGCAAGGTTCTAAAAAACGTTAGGCGCTAGTCGGGCGGCGGACTGGCGCCTAGCGCCTAGGCGCCTAGGCGGATTTAGGTAAATTTCTTATATATCTTGTAAATAAATGTATACTGATACTTACAAAAAATTATACTTATATGAAATCTCTGAATAAGATAGTAAAAGAATAATAAAATGTATATCTAACAAGTCCAAAAAATCCATAGCACTTGATGCTATGAACTGATAACCTGACAATCAATGTTTTTTTAATGAGAAAAAAAATTAATTTTTTGTCAGGCTATTAATTTTTTGTAGATGGCAGCTAGTCTGCCCTTTGTCCAGGAAGAGATGAGTGCTCCATCGCTATCTACAAAAAAATCCATAGCACTTGATGCCACAAAAATAAATAGTCTGACAGCCTTTTTTCTTTAAGAAAAGTCAAGGCTAGCTGTCCACATTTGAATGGACAAAAAATTAAAAAAATTAAAAAATTAAAAAAAAAGTTTACAAGATCACGTGGGTGGGTGTGGAAAGAAGAGAGAGAAACTAATTCTCTCATCTTCTTCCTCTTTCGCGAACACAGACCACCAAAAGCCCAGAAAAACTAGAAGCATTCATCCTTTCTCAAGTTCAAACACAGAAAAAATTGAAATTCCCAGACCGCCTAGGCCACCCAGTCGCTCGCCTAGGCCACCCAAGGGTCGTTCAGGCTGCCTCGGCACCCGCCTAATCCTTGTCCTGATTTTTCTTCTGATTTTGCGTTAATCCCAGCGGTTGGCCATCGCCCAACGCCTAGGCGCCGTCTAGGCCGATTTTTAGAACACTGGTTTTGAGTCATTTAAGTCAGCTTTAAGTCTATAGAGTCTAATTTAGTGTTTTTGAGTCTTATTTGTGTTGATTAGCATCCCTAGTTAATCTACAGTCTAGAACGATCCCTACTTGCTTCATACTACAACTACATGTTTAATAGGGTTTAATTTGTGTGTTAGTTAAATTTCACATCGAATTTTGGCGCCGTTGTCGAGGATTAGCAAACTTGCTAATCTCCTTTGTTTGTGTCGTGTGTCTTTGTGTTTTCTTTTAGTGTCAAAGTGTGTTCGTGTGTTTGTGTGTGTTTGTGTCTATCTTTGTTGTGCCTCCTACTTGGTTGCTGAGTTGTTTTTGTTCCTTGTTTTAGGTACTAGTTTATGACTCGTAGTTCTCAACCTATTAGTGCAAACATCTTGGAGTTCGATGATGATTTTGAACGAACTTTGAGAAGAAAGAGGAAGTAACCAGAACCTATCCACGTAGTTCAAGTTCAGAGGCCGAATCTGAATTTGAAGAAGAAGAAGAAGAACAAGAACAAGTCATGGCAGCGGACAATCGTACAATCAAAGAACTTTCAGCCTCGGGGTTGGACAATGTCATGCCCCTTTGCATTCAATATCTCGTGGCTGCCCAAGGAAAAACTGATGAGTTGAATTTAAGTCTAACTTGTTGCAACACATTCCTAAGTACCATGGGTTATCCATGGAACATCCAAACAAGCATCTTAAGGAGTTTGAAGTGGCATGTTCGAGCATGACACCCATCAATGTCGATGGGAACATTCTGAAGATGAAGGCCTTTCCATTTTCTCTTTTGGAAAAGGCTAAAGATTGGCTATACGAATTGGCATCCGAAACCGTCACTTCTTGGGAAAGCATGAAGCGAGCATTCTTAGAAAAGTTTTTCCCAACTTCGAGAGTCATTCTCTTGAGGAAGAGAATTAGTGGCATTCAACAAAGCCAAGAAGAATCATTTCCAGCGTATTATAGCGTTTTAAGACTCTAGTTGTATCGTGCCCTCAACATCAAATGAAGGAAGAACTTTTGCTTCAATATTTCTACGAGGGACTCCTACCAATTGAGAGACAAATGTTAGATGCTTCAGTGGGAAGTGCTTTGGTTGACAAGACTCCAGTTGCTACAAAGATCTTAATTGCAAATCGAGCCTTGAATGCATAACAATATGAATGAGTTGGAGGAAGAGACACCCCACGGCATCAACAACATGTGAATGAGGTAAGTGCAATTTCTGAAATTCAATTTCAATTAGCTAACCTCATTATGCTTGTATCTCAGGTTGCCGAAAGATGCAAAGTGCAAAGAATTACACCAAGTGTATGTGGAGTGTGCTCTATGCAAGGACATCTCAATGATTAATGTCCTCAATTGATAGAGAATGGAGGATGAGAAAGTGTCATTGCCATAGGTTATCAAGGCCAAAATCAGCAAAGGAATGATCCATACTCAAATACATACAATCCGGGATGGAGAGATCACCAAAATTTCAAGTGGAGAGAGCCTCAACAACCTTAACAAGGAGGATTTCGACAGCCACCCCCTGGGATATATCAAAGGCCATTTGCACAATCTCAACCTTAATCACAAACAGCTCAACCAAACTCAGGTTCGCTATTTGATAATGATCAAGCTATTCAATTACTAACTTCTGTATCGCAGGGATTACAAAATCAAAATAATCAAATAGCAAATCAAGACAGGGAGATGAGTGACACGAAGAAGCAAATAGGGCAGATTTCAGAGTTCCTTGGGCAGTTTAGAGAACAAGGCAAACTTCATAGTTCAATCGTTGTGAATCCAAATGGAGACTTTGAAACCGCCAAGGCCATCACGTTAAGAAGTGGCAAGTAGGTTGGAACCGACCCACAACCATCCAAATCAATTCAAAATGAGGACGAGAAGCTGTTGCTCGAAGAGGAGGAAGAAGTCAAGCCCACGGCAAAGGTAGAAAAACCCTTGCCGCAGCCCCCTAAAACTTCTAAGCCATCCACCACAAGTAAGGTTGTTCCAAATTTGACTCATTCTAACCCTATTCCACCCAATGCACATTTCCCTCGCAAATTTATGCAAGTTAGGATCGAAAATGATGAAAAAGACATCTTAGAGACTTTCAGGAAGGTGCAAGTCAATATCACATTCCTTGATGCAATAAAGCAAAATTCAAAGTATGCTAAGTTTTTTAAGAAGCTTTGTACAACAAGGAAACGGATTTCGGAAATGGAGGTGGTACATGTAAGTAAGAATGTCTCTGCAATGTTGCAAAGAAAGCTGCCACCTAAATGCAAACATCCAGGTAGTTTCACTATCCATTGTGTAATTGGTAATACAAGGTTTGAACATGCTATGCTAGATTTAGGTGCATCAATTAATGTCATGCCATATTCTGTTTATGCATCTATGAATCTAAGAGAGCTTAAAAATGATGGTGTTATTATTTAATTAGCCGATCGATCTAATGCATACCCGAAATGGGTGTTGAAATGTTTTGGTGCAGGTAGACCACTTGATTTTTAATGCAAATTTCTACGTGCTTGACATGGAGGACTCAGGCCACTCTACACCATCGCCACTCTTACTTGGACAACCTTTCATGAAAACTGCCCACACCAAGATTGACGTGGCCAAGAGAGCCTTAACTATGGAGTTTGGTGATGATATGATCAACTTTAAAGTTTCTGAATCTATTAAGAATCCTAATGATGTTCATCCTTGTTTTGCCAACACTCCACATTATAAAACAAGGATGAACATCATTAGGATTCTTAATAAATTCAGAAACTTTAAAGTTGATCATATCACCACCAAACTCCATAGTTAAAGCTCTATTGGCCACGTCAATCTTGGTGTGGGCAGTTTTCATGAAAGGTCGTCCAAGTAAGAGTGGCGATGGTGGAGAGTGGCCTGAGTCCTCCATGTCAAGCACGTAGAAATCTGCAGGAAAAATCAAGTGATCTACCTGCACCAAAATAACTTCCAACACTCATTTCGGGTATGCATTAAATCGATTGGCTAATTGAATAATAACACCATCATTTTTAAGCTCTCCTAGATTCATAGATGCATAAACAGAATATGGCATGACATTAATTGATGCACCTGAATCTAGCATAGCATGTTCAAACCTTGTATTACCAATTACACAAGGGATAATGAAACTACCTGGATCTTTGCATTTAGGTGGCAGCTTTCTTTGCAACATTGCAGAGACGTTGTCACTTACATGTACCACCTCTTTCTCCGAAATCCGTTTCCTTGTTGTACAAAGCTTCTTAAAAAACTTAGCATACTTTGAATTTTG